GGAGCGGACAGGGGGCGGGGCGGGGCTACTAGCAAACCGGGGTCGGGGCACTGGGCCGGGAGGAGTTCCGAGGGGCGCAGAGCACGGCCGGGAACCCCGAGGCGATGCACTGGGTTGGGGGTCGGGGGCCCATCCCGTGCTTACTGTGCGTCTCCAGCAGCACTCGAAGCAGGCCGAGAGTCTGGTCCTGCTGGGACACGGCCACTAGCCGCAGTCCTAGATGGTGAAATTCATGAAGCTGGAAGTGCCCTGGAGGAGGCTCGGGCCCAGCCAGTTCCCCGGAGTCCCGCCTTGGGACTCGGCCCTGCTCTCGGCCTCCCGGGCGCTCCCGCCCCCTCGACTGTGGGTCTTGCCGGAGCCCAGCTCGCGAGAGGCCCGGAGCCGCCCCAGCCACCCCGCCCTCAGGCCCTCCCGCCCTGTCCCGCAGGAGCTGCACGCCGCTGAGGTGCGCAGGAACAAGGAGCAGCGGGAGGAGATGTCGGGCTAAGGATCCCCACGGGCGGCGCCCGGGTCCTGCGACAGAACACGTCGGGATTTGGTTTTGTTTCGTTCACCTCTGTCTAGATGCAACTTTTGTTCCTGCGTCCCCACCCCCACCCCTACCCCCGCCCCAGCTTCACGCTTCTCTTCCGCACTCAGCCGCCCCGCCTTGTCCTCGTGATGAGTCGCTGACCACGGCTTCCCCTGCAGGAGCCGCCGGCCGTGAGATGCTGCCTCTCGGTGCAGACACCAGGCCGGTGGCGGCTGGGTCCCCCAGGGGCTCCGTGGCAGATGTGGTGGTGACCGTGGTCAACCCAGGGCGGCGGCGTGGGATCGCGGGTCCTTGCCCTGGGCTGTCTGGTCAGCATGTGCAGGTCAGGGCAGGTCCTCTGAGCCAGTGCCCCTGGCCAACAGGCGAGGCTGCAGCACCTTTGGTCTTTCCGTGGGGGAGGGGTGGTAGGGAGGCGGTGATGGTGCCTGGGAGCCTGCGTGGGCAGTGGAGCGTGTGGAACTGGCAGGTGGGTGGGTGGGGGCTGCAGTTCTCCTTAACGTGGTTGTACGGGGGTCCTCTGAGACCACCTGGCCTGAGGTGGACACCCCGGGCCTTCCTGGAAGCCTGCACTGAGGGCCCGGCCTGAGTCTGCTAGGGAGTGGGCATTCTCTGCCAGGGACCGATGAGCAGGCTGCCATGGTCTAGAGGGTTGTGGGCAGCATGGGCAGTCACCTACTCAGAAGTGCAAGAGTTCCAGAGAGTCCCTGGTCCAGGAACCTGTGTGGGACAACCCCTCCCCTCCCCACCAGGGCTTTGCAGATGCCTTTGAAAGACCCATCTTTAGAGCCCTTTAGAGTGCAGGTCCCTCGCATGTCCTCTGCCCTGGTAGACACCGCTCCTGGCCATGGGGCTTTTAGGCTTTCTTTAGGTCAGGTGCAAGTAGCAGCCACAAGTCCTCCTCAGGGAGCCCCAAGGGGGATTTTGTGGGACCACTGCCCACAGATCCAGGCATTGGAAAGGCAGTGGGTGAGATTCGTAGCCACCCCCCCACCCTCCCCACTTGGCACCCAGAGTGGGTTGGGGGTTGAGGCCTGGCTCTAGGCCTCTCCTGGCCACGCCTTCTGGGCTAGGTTCCTTCTCTCCCTTGGATGCCCAGTGCTGACCTTGGAGGATGGTCAGCTGGAGGACCAGGGAGGGGGCGGGCTGTCTTTCGTCACTGCAGCATCCCTCACTTCTCCACGGAAGCCTCATCCCAAAGCTGCTGCCCGGCCACTTGCCATAAAATGTGAAGGGGCAGCTGAGTTATCTTAGGACCCAGAGCCAGGGCCCTCAGCTTCCATCCTGCAGGAGGCCTTGGCCAGGGCACTGCCAGCCTTCCAGGCCCACACTAGGGAGCACGGGAGGATCCTGACCCCTGCAGGGCTCAGGGGTCAGCAGGGACCCATTGCCCCATCTCCCTCTCCCCACCGAGACAGCCACAGAGGGAGCAGTCAGCGGGATGGGAACTCATGGCTGCCCACATGTGGCTTTTGTGGGACTCAGAAAGGGAAGCAGAACTGAGGGCTGGGATTCTCCTTACAGTTGCAGCTCTCACAGCGAAAGCCTAGTGTAATATGCACCCATCTCATCCACGTAGTAAAGTGAACTTAAAAATTTAATCAAATGAACAATTAAATAAAAAAGCACCTGTGTGTTTAAGACATGGTTGAACTGTCTGTGTGTGTCCTGCACCTGTGGGGCCGGGGAGGGGCTGCAGGCTCGCTGTCTGGGAGTGAGTTTCTGCCCTGTAACTCCAGACTGAAGCTGGTTGTAAATCTTATTTTATCACCATGATTTTGAATTGTTCTAGTGACAACGGTGATTTTAAGAGGCAAGCATGTAAACCACACACAAGTCCACTTGCATCTCTGGAATCCAAGGGGTGAGTCGTCAGGGTGGCGTGGGGCAGGGCCCTCTGCTGTGGGTGGGGCTGGCTGAGACCTTCCTGCCCTCCCTCAGGACTGAGCTGTCCTTAGGGGTTCCTGTTGTTCAGGACTCTGTGGCCCAGACACTGCCTAGGAGGAAAGGGCAGGGCCTGCGTCTGCGTCTGATGCTGGAGCCTCAAGGCTGTGGACTTCCTGACATGGGGTGGCTGCTAAGAGACCCCTGGAGCTGTGCCCCACTGTTCTGTGGGCTCACCCCATTCACTTCCTTCTCTCCTGGACAGGAAGAAGACATTCAGGGCTGGGCTCCAAGGCTCACACCTGTAATCCCAGCACTTTGGGAGGCCGAGGTCAGGAGTTTGAGGCCAGCCTGACCAATATGGTGAAACCCCATCTCTACCAAAAATACAAAATTAGCTGGGTTTGGTGGCATGCGCCCATAGTCCCAGCTACTCTGGAGGCTGAGGCAGGAGAATCTCTTGAACATGGGAGGCGGAGGCTGCAGTGAGCTGAGATTGTGCCATTGCACTCCAGTGTGGGTGACAGAGTGAGACTCTGACTGGTGGTGGACATGCCTGCCCCACCAAACAGCCAGGGGGCCCCCTGCTAGGAGTAAGGCGTATTTGTCGTGGATGTCTAAACTCTCTGTGCTGACACTGTGCCCTAGAAGGCATCTGCTCCCCACAGCCCCATGAGACCCAGCTTCCCCCTCTCCCAGGGCAGTCCTGGTGGCATTCCTGGGCTTGAAGGAGCTCTTGCTTGTGGGTAACACCCCCCCATGGCACCGAGGAAGGAGAACTGTTCAGACCCCAGGCACAACCAGTGCCTGAAGAATATCTTACTTTATAGCGTCATTGCTCAGCTGTTTCCTTTATATAATCCTGCATAGCCGGGCGCGGTGGCTCACGCCTGTAATCCCAGCACTT